CTCCGTCACTCAGGCTGAAATGCAGAGGCATGACCTTGGCTCGCTGCAACCTCCGCCTCTCGGATTCAAGCGATTCTCATGCCTCAGCCTCCCGAGCAGCTGGGGTTACAGGTGCCCGCCACCACGCCTGGCCAATTTTCTTTTTAAGTAGAGACTGGATTTCACCAATTTGGCCAGGCTGGTCTCAAACTCCTGACCTCAAGTGATCCGCCCACCTCGGCTTCTCAAAGTGCTGGGTGCTGGGATTACAGGCGTGAGCCACTGCTCCTGGCCAGGAATATTTCATCTTAATTAATTTAAATTCCAACGGCCACAGGTGGTGTGTGGTGACGGAGTGGCAGGAGGCCCCACCACACAATGCCAAAGGCACCAAAAACGCAGGTGGATGAGGGCGGCCTCTGCCTCCCCTTGGGGGGCAGCCACACCTGCCTGCTCCCGGATTCTGCCAGGAGGACTGGGTCCCCAGCCCCTCCCTGCCCTGCCTGATTGCCAGCCTCAGCTGGGTGGTCTTCCTCCAGCCAGGCCCACCTGAGGCTGCCTCCCGCCCTCCAGGAGGCCAAGCCCCTCGCCAGGCGGCTACATTAAACAGCAGGGCCAGACTCGCTGGGGAGGTGAGCAGCCTCTAGGCTGTGGAGGCCGGTGTCTCCACAACCTGGAACAACACATCCTTTCTCTGAATTTAAGGAAAACAGGCTGCTCTGGAGGCAAACCTTTTAAACAGATGTTTCCTCTTGGCGGAACCTCCCTGCTCCGCCCCCACCCTGGGCCTTCCCCCAGGCAGGGCCTGCCCATCTCTCACAGGGCGGAGGCCTGGGGCAGGGGAGACCAAGTGATTTCAATTCTTTTTAGGAAGGGAGAGGAAAATATTTTTTAAAATGTGTTTTACAAGCCTGCTTTTGCCATTGTTGATGTAAACAGGTAAATTGTTTCCTGCCTCAATTAAAAACATCTGCCACATAAATGAATACCAATTAACTCATCCTGTTTTTAATTACTCTGTTAATTACACGCAGGCAGCAGAAAGGATAGTGGGGGAGCAGGGAAGCTGAGCCGATCCTCCGTGCCACACTGCCCCACCCCAGCTTGGCAGGATCGAAAACGTGTCTGGCTGGTGACGGATGGGGTGGCAGGGAGATGGTGGCACCCTGCCAGCCGGGATTTCCTGATCCAGGGCGGACAGTGGCCCCCTCTTCCCGGGATCTCCCTGGGTGGGGGTCCGGCCCCTGCCCCTCTCCCTCTTGGTCTGCGGCCCCCTGCTTACTTCTTGGGCCACATTTTGTTGAGGGAGGGAGGGAGGGGCAGTCGCGGGGGAGGTCTGGATTTTGTCCAGAAAGCTCTGCCTTAAGGCTGGGGCGGCAGGAGGATAAGAGTCACCCTAAACAGGACCCCTGAGAATTAGGATCCTATCAGCTGCCATTTCCTGAGCCGTACATCGAGGTGCTGGGGACCTCGTGGCTGCAGCGCCCTCATTTAAGTTGCTTCCTCGGGGGCACCTGGGACGCCCCCCACATGCACCACAGCCTTCGTGGTAATGACACAGTTATTCGTTCGCTTGCTTCAGTAAATGTTCACCCGGGGAATAGGGACGCCTCACCCCGTCTCACCCAGACCTCTCTGCGCGGTACATTTTGACTTCCAGTTCACACATGTCAAAGCTGAGGCCCACACAGGCAACTGCCTACCCGAGGTTACATCACGGGGACAGGCCAGGGTGAGCCGTGAGCCCAGGACTCTGGTTTCAGGGCTGGTGTCGATACCACCACACGTGACGCGGCCAGGACGTCCCGGGAGCCGGGTTCAGGGGCTGAAGCCGGGCGGCGCCACACGGGTGGGGGTGCTCCCGGTCTAAGGGCATCTTGAGGGTCTTCACCCAAGAGGGTACCCTGGCCTCCCTGGAAATCAGCCCCCACAGAAACTGACCCTGTTCTTACCCGAGGTTTCTGCAGTCTAAGGATGTGGAGGTGGCCAGAGCTGGCTGGGCTCTCAGAGCCCGTCTAGCCAGAGTAAAAGTCCTGTCCAGCAGCAGGGCCTAGGGCCCTCCACAGGAAGGCTGCTGCCTTAGCAGGATTGAGAGGGCCGAGTGCTGCAGTGCACTCATGATGTCTGCCTCGGGCACCAGCGCGGGCACGGTGGGAAGGGGCTCTATGGACTGGGGCATTAAATCCTGTCTGCCCTTCGCTGCACGGAGGAGAGGACCTGCGTCCCAGGGCAAGCACTCCGCCTTTCCTACCTCACGCCAGGGCTGTGCTTGAGGCCTTCCCGAGGGCGGGGTCAAGAAAGCACCCACGCCCTGGCGAGCTGCCAACCCACGCCTGTTCCCTGGCAAATCCCTCCTACAGGCTGGGTCCCGGCTTGCAGCCGCCGCCGGAGGGTGGCGAATGGCCCCTTCCTGGAATCCCATGCCAACCTTGGAGACAGCAACGCCAATGTTCCTGTAGCACAGGCTTTGCCCCTGTGTGGTTGCACGTGGCCAAGAAAATACTAACTCATTTAACCTTGGCAGTCCCCCTGCCCCAGGAGGCTGTTCTGTTATATAATCATGATGAAAACATAAACTTCTCACTCTTTCCACTGTACAGATGGGGCAGCAGTGGCCCAGAGAGGAAGGAACTGCTCAAGGTGCACAGCAGGACGGACAGCGCTGGGACCCGACCCTGACAGCCGGCTCAACACAGGCCCCCAGAGCCTTCACCTGCACAGCTGCCTGGCTCCCACCGGGTCCCTCCAAACGCCCCACGTCTCCCCGATTTGCCCAATGTGGAGGGAGAGACGCGGAGCAGTTTGTGATGTGCTGAGACCACACAGCAGGTTGGCAAGCTGGGGGCACCACTTTCAGGTTTGAAGTCAGCGTCCACTGGTGTGGGTGAGTCCCCTGGCCTTGCTGGGCCTCAGCGTTCTCCCTGTGAAACGGGGGGACCTGCACCCCCTCCTCATCGCACAGAGGTGGTGAGGATTCGGCGCTCCACCCACTGCCCCCTGCCTGCCTCCTCTTCCAGGCAGGCCACCAGGCTGAGCTCCTGCTTGCTGCCTCAAGGTTTCCTGAGCCGCCAGGGACTTGCACAGAGACCTCAGCCCGAGTGGGGGCCTCTCAGACCTTTGGCTGCCCACGTTACCTGCCACATCCACTGCCACCAGAAGGGCTGTTTGTTTGCGGCCTTTGGGAGTCAACATGAGCAACAAATGCACCTCTTGCTGTGTGAGCCGAGGAGCTGCTGAGTCGTGAAGGGGCTTCAGGCTCCGCACAGCCCAGTCCCGGTGCACAGCACGGCTCGGGAGGGAGGCCAAGCCGCACGTCCTCTGCCACCCGGCTCACACATCTGTCGCTCCTGCTGTCAGGGTGGGAAGGCCCTGACATGGAGGTCGGCTTTGGAACGCAGGTGCTGGGCTCCTGGGCTGGACGCCTGCACCTTCTAGGTTGGGGTGGCTCTGGGAAAGACCAGAATGCCGAATCCAGCCCCGAGGATGGTCCTGTCTCAAAGGTGGGGCCAGAGGAGGAGCCCAGGCTCACTGGCCAGGACTTTGGAAGCACAGATCACCACAGTGCAAGGACCAGGAAGACCCTCAGGACCCTGGGATCTGATGCTGAGGGTGCATGGCGATCCAGCCAAGGTTACAGCAAGGACCCCGGTGGAGGTGGGGGCGTGGTCAGGCAAGGTCACAGCGACCCAGCCAGGGCTAAAGCAAGGAGCCCGGGTGGAAGGGCCGCGCCTGCTGGGCTAAAGCAAGGACCCCCATGGGGTGGGGGCAGGGCAGGTGGTGGTCATGTCTACCCTGGAGGGGCCGCACCTGCTGGGCTGAGTCCTAGTGAGCCTGGGTGAAGATCTGCCCTCTCTGGGTCCCACCTTCCGCGCTATTCACTGGGAGCTGCAAGGGCTGTGCTGACGTGGGGTGTGCTGTGTACCTTGAGGACCGCCCCAGTGGCCCTGCACAAGCCCCGCCCTTGCCCTGCCTCCCTGGGGCCACCGACCATGAGGAGACTAGACTCTGCTGAGACCAAAGGAGAGGGACCTGGGGTCCAGGAAGGCGGCAGAGAACGAAGCTTTCAGGGGTGATGGCCAGGATGGCCTTGGAGAAGGGTCCAGCCATGGGCAGACCTGGGCCAGCGCAGACACAGGCCACGGGGAGGAGGGCAGGCGGAGGGCCCAGTGGTGGCTGCGGGGGCAACCAGGGCAGCTCTCAGTGCTGTGCCATGGGGCCTCGAAGCAACTGGATGCAGGGAGTGGTCCCTGCAAGGTGGCTCAGGACAAGCTTTGTGGCTCCCCAGAGGCAGAGACCCCATGGCCGGGAACATGGGGTCACTCTTGTCAAACAGCCTCTGCTGCCCAGATGCAGCTGGTCTCACCCATTGCCCCAGCTGGCCGGACACAGTGGGAACAGCCAGGCACTGGGGGCCAAGCAGGTGCAGGAAACCACCTGCTGAATTTAGACCCAACCGGGGGCCATGACGACGAGTCCTGCCCACAGCTTCGGGCTGATGGCGGCCACTGCCACCGCCTCCCACCTCATTGAGTGCTTTCTCCGCCAAGGCCACAAAGCCGCACACCCCTGACCACGTGTGGGTGACAACAGGGCAGTCGGGCAGACAATGAAAACTGAGGGATGGCCCCTGAAGAAACTAGAAGCCACTGGTCACTGTGGCCAAGCCCAGGGCTTGCTGTGTCTGTGAGGGGTCTCAGCTCTGCACCAGCCCAAGGGGGAGGCAGCAGAGGTGACAGGGGCCTGCCCGGAGTCACACAGCAAGGGCCTTATCCTGGACACCGTGCTCCCTGACCCTGGGGCAGCGGGCCATGTCCGCAGTGGGCAGAGAGCCAGGTTCCAGCCCTGCCCCGATTGGTCCTCTCCCAGCCCCAAGCCTTGGGAAGGTGCCAGGCAGGCAGATGGGAAGGGCTCGGGCACGGTGCAGCCGCAGCCGTGGTGGCAGCTGCTTGGGGGAGACCCACGAGGGGCTGGCTCTGCTGCTCCCTCCTGAGCGGAGCCTTCTGGGTACCCTGACTCATCCACCAAGCGCTCTCATGCAGCCTCCAGGAGATCTGCAGGGGGCCGGGGCGGGGGGGCGGAGACGACGGTGCTGCTGAGTCAAAGCAGCCCCCAGGAAATATTCCGCAGAGAAGGGAGGCCCTTCCTGTGCCAGGCAGCCAGAGACCTGCTCCGAGTGCCCCGTGCTACTCTCATCCCAGCAGGAGGACAACTCTGAGGGTGGCAGGTGGGGCGAGCAGTCACTGTGCAGTGGGAGACACAGGCTCCGAGAGACTCAAGACTTGCCTGAGGCCACCTGGATGGCTCTGAGTATGCTGCTCCTCCCTCCAGGGCAACACGGGAACCGGAGGCTTCTCGTTTCTTCAGGGACTGTCCCTCAGCTTTCACTGTCTGCCCGACTGCCCACCAGGAGCCCCTGCGTGTGCGGAGTCTGGGAATGTGCCTTCCTGGGGGCTCCGAGCTGCTCCTGCACCCTGGACTCCCAGCTTCCCCGCGATGGGCTTTTCCAGGCTGCAGCATGAGGAGCCCCGGTCACCAAGGACGTGGGCAGCACTCTGGAGTCGGTGCCATCCTTTCTTCACCAGAGGCCGTGTGAACGTTTTCACGATGATTTTTTAAAGAGAGACAGAAGGACCAGGACTAGAAAGACAAGGTTGTCCTGCCTCCCACAGGCAGCAGCCTCGAGCTGGCACCACCTCTTCTGCCCCCGGAAGGTCAGCTCTGTGAGGCAGGGGAGGCCCCCGTGAATTCTGCAGGGAGTACTTGGTGGGCGCTGGGCGGACTCACTTTCCCCACCTGTGAAAGGGGCCAATCCCACTGCAGTGGGGCCAGTGAGTGAATTCCCAGGAGGTCTGAGCAGAGCCGCAGCCGGGGTACAACTGGCTTCCGGGGCCGGGCTGCTGCCTCCAAGAGCCCAGCCTTTTCCCCAGAGGCGAGGAGTGAATCTGGGCTCCATGCAGGGGGGTTCCAGCATGTAAAAGGTGTGACAAACTCATCCTCCAATGTCCAACTGGACAAACCTCTTCAATCCACCACTGAAGGCCCCCCAAGTGCTCCGAGGGACCCGGCGTGCTGTGGGCTGGGAGGCGTCTGTCCCAGCTTCATCTCCGAAATGTCGGTGTCTGCTCTGCCCTGTGCTGCGGTTTTCAGGCATCCAGGTGGAGCGACCTCCTTCCATCTCTCCTGCTCGGGGTCGGTCAGCAGGCCGAGTCTCAGGGCTATGACACGGAGGTTTGTTACATGTCACACCAGGTGGCCCTGGGTCAGCCAAAGAGCTTTGTTTCAGGAGAGCGTGGGTGAGCGCCGCCCCCACCGCATGGCTGCACGGAGGCCCGAGGGCAAGATCTTCCCGAGGGACAAGCTAGATGCAGGGTGGGGCCTGCTGAGCCTCAGTTTCCTTGGCTGTAAGACGAGACGAAGGCATTTACAGCGGGGATGGCTGGGAATTCCTCCTCCGGATCCGGCTGATGCCTTGGTGCACCGTAGGCTCCCAGGAGCTCACACGGCCTTCCCTGCCTGTCACTTGTGCCCCACCTCAGAACGAGGTGCTTGTAGTGGCAGGGCAGCCCGTCTGGCCCCGCCCAGCCCCCGCCGCCTCCCTGCCCTCATCTCCTTTCTCTGAGACAAGGCTCCTCGATGGTCCTGGAGGTGGTGGCACACTCCTGCCTCGGGCCTGGCATGTGTGGCCCTTCCCTCCTCCCGCAGGTAAGCTCCATGCCCCTTTACCAGAGAAGCCAGTGTCAACCCCCACGGCCCTGGGGGGCGACACATCGCAGTTCCCCTCCTTCACTTCTGTCTCTCCCAGACGGAGCAGAAGCCTCAGGCGTACACCAGGCACCAATCACTATTTGTTGAGGGAATGAACGGGCACCACCTAAGGAGCTGGGTCAGATGGAAGCATGGCTCAGAGATGTCAGCGGGAAGAGCAGGTCAACGTGACAAGCCGGGTCCCGCCCTGCCCTCGGGTGCATGGACTTCCCCAGGCAGCACTGACACCCCCGCTGAGGTGAGGCTGCTGGGCCCCGTCCATGGGGAGAGGCAGCTGGAAACTGGGGGCCCCAGCTCCTCCTGGGGCCAGATCCTGACCCCAAAGCCAGCCTGTTTTCTGGGTGTCCGAATCCTGCCGGGGTGGAGGAGGCGCTGGGGAAGAGGCGGGTCCACCTGTTCTCCAGGGACCTCCCTGCAACCCTTCATGAGGTCAGAGCTGGGCACCCAGGGAGACAGCAGCTGTGGCCACGGGCGCCATGCCAGGCAGGTACCAGCCTGGCATGGAGCCCGCGGGTGGTAATCTCCAGGCTGCTCCGGGGCTGGGCGGCAGCTGTAGGGGGTTCAGCTGTCACAGAGGGAGCCTGGGAAGCCAGCACTGCCTGGGATGATCCCCCTCCCGCCTCCTCCTCCCCCGCCTCCTCCTCCCCAGGCCCCGGAGGCCCAGCTAGCCCATTCCCCTACCCAAGGAGCCAAGCCCTACTAGGCCGCCCATGCTGACATGCAGCGAGCCAATACTGACTCGAAGACAGGTCAGCCAGACCCACCTGCTCCCTCAGGAGGTGGGATCTGATCTCCTGCTGGCCTGCACGGGCCACGATGGAGAGGCGCCTCATGACACACTGCAGTCAGCTCAGAAAAGCCGTAGATGCCGACCCGGGGAAGCCTGCCCAGCATGGGGCGTTCTCTGAGGTGGGAGCCACAGGGAGGGCCTCATGGAGGCCTCTGTCCACAGGCAGTGATGCCCAGCACCCACTGCTGCTGACCAAGCCCCTGGCACCCCCAAGCTGAGCCTTTGAACCCCAGCAGGGAAGACCACCCGGCCGAGACCCTGGCCACCATGGGGTCATCACTGCCCCATGGGGCTCTGTTCCATCTCCTGGCCCAAGGGTCTCTGAGCACCGCCAGGGCTGCCTCACGCCTCTGAGTTTGGGGTGTTTTGTTCGGCAGCACTGGGGTCCGAGCAGCTTCTTGCCCAGTGTCTGGCACAGTTGTCCATGGAGGGGGCGTTTCTGGGATTCTGTGGTTTAGGGGACACTCCCCTCACTCCCCGGCCTCGGGGGCCGATGACCAGGCGGAGCGGGCCCAAGGCCACGTCTGTGAGGGAGTCACAACGCTAGGTCACTCCAAGCTGCCTCTGTGGTCACAACGTCCAGCTGCCCCCACACAGGCGAGACCCAGGATCAAGCCCCAGGGCTGGAAAGCGGACACGGGATGTATTTGTTTGTGGAATCAAATACGACGGCAGCTTGCAGGCAGCCCAGCCGCTGTGCAAACAACCCTCTTCCAGCACCCGGTGAGGGCGGCCCTGAAGCAGCCGGCGACCCCGGGCCCTGTCACCCGCCAGGTGGGGTGTTGGGTACCGGCCCTCAGGCAAGACAGGGTGCCTGTGTCCTGAGCACCTCCCGTGTCAGGTGCCGGGGGCAGACAGACAAAAGTCCTGCCCCAGAGAGCTGACCTCGGACGGGAGCCCAGGAATCCTGTGCAAACGTACAAGACCCTCGGCCGAGGCTGGGAGGTGTGGTGGTCAGGACAGGCACCGGGTGGGTGAGTGGGTGGCCACTGAAAAGGTGACGTCTGAGCAAGACCTGAGGACGGGAAGCTGGGAGCCATGTAGGCGTCGGGGGAGAGCATTCCAGGCATGGGGGCCAGTAGCGCAAAGGCCCTGAACTGCAGCCAGCCAGGCATGGTGGGCAGCAGCAAGGCGGAGCAGAGTGGGAGATGGTGGGTGATGGAAGGGAGAGGAGTTTGTGCGGTCTTGGTCCCACAAGGACCTTGGCTCCATCCCTGGAGAGCTGTGACTGGCCTTTAATGGGACCCATCTGTCTGCCAAGTGCAAAATGGACCTGGGATGGGGGGCTGGGGTAGAAGGAAAGAAACCAGGTACAGAATCTGGCACGAGTCACGCGGTCAGAAGGCAGGTGCTGGAGAGATCCCATAACTGTTTGTGGAATCAAATAGGACAGCAGCTTGCAGGCAGCCTGGCCGCCGCTGTGCAAACAACCCAGAGTGTCCCTGAACCAGCCGGTGACCTCAGGCAACTGCATCCATCCCCGGGGCCAGTGCACCATCGCCTGTGAGAGGTGTGGAGACGGCTGCTCTCCCATGCCTGCGGGAGGACGCAGTGACAGCAAGGCCAAGCCCCCTGCCCACCAGGACAGCAGCTTTTCTTGACAATTTATCCCCTGAAACCCTGTGGACAATTAAACCCAGAGTTACCAGGTGAGCCAGGGATTCTACTCCTAGGAATCCAACCAAGAGAAATGAAGACATTCATCCATGCAAAAGCTACCAATAGCCACGGCTGCATCGTCCATGCAAAAACTACCAATACCCACGACTGCGTCGTCCACACAAAAACTACCAATACCCACGGCTGAATGTTGTCCACAAAAACTACCAATACACTGGCTTTGTTGTCCACACAAAAACTACCAATACCCGACTGCGTCGTCACACTTCTGTCTATGACTCGTCGTCACGCAAAAATACAATATTACCACGGTACAAATGTCCCTTTTAAAAACTACCAATACCCGCGACTCAAGTCGTCCCACGCCAAAAACTACCAATACCCACATTTCAAGTGATCCGCAAAAACTACCAATACCCACGGCTCGTGGTCCATAAAAACTCAATACCCGGCTCGTGGTCACGCAAAAACCCTACCCAGCAATACCCGGCTCGTCGTCCCGCCAAAAACTACCAATACCTGGCTCGTCGTCCGCGCCGCAAAACTTCACCAATACACGGCTCGTGGTCCACTGCGAAAACTACAGCACTGCAGCCTGCGTGGTCACGCAAAAACTACCAATACCCGGCTCGTGATCACGCAAAAACTACCAATATACCCGGCTGCGTCGTCCATAAAAACTACAATACCCGCGGCTCGTCGTCCATGCGAAAACTACCAATACCCACAGCTGTATGGTCCACCGCCAACCACAATGGGAGGCATATTGCGTCGTCCACGCAAAAACTACCAATACCCACGGCTGCGTCGTCCATGCAAAAACTACCAATACCCACAGCTGTGTGGTCCACCATAACCACAATGGGGGCAACAACCCACGGGTCCATCAACAGACACACAAACCCTGGTTTTTCTGCATAGTGCTGTGCAACTCAGCCACAGGGAAGGATGCTCCCCACTAGGCTCCAGTGCGGGGAGCCATGAAGGCCCTGTGCTGAGTGACAGAGCCAGATGCAAGGGCCACCTGTGGCCCTGTCCCCCTCATCTGAGGCGTCCAGAACAGGCAAGTTCACAGAGATGGGTAGCGGATGCTGACCGGGGGCCGGGGGTGGAGGAGGAGATGGGGAGGTGGCAGACTGGGAGCTAGGGGTGGAGGGGTGAGGAGATGCGGGGGCAAATGTGAGAGGGGCTCAGCCTCCCTCCCAGGGTCTCTGCTCCTGTCTACTGGGGCCCACCTGCAGGCAGGTAGCAGCAGACACTGCTGTGACCCCAGCCCTGGTTCTGTGGGCCTGGCTGTGCTAGAAACCAGGAGGGTGGAGGCCAGGGCCCAGGAGGCTGGTGGCTGGAGTGAGTGGGAGCTGAGCGACCTTCTTGCTGCAAACACCCCCCTTCCAGAGACACAAGCACACCCTTAGGGGTGGGAGGGGCCCACAAGGACCAGTCTGTGGCAAGTGACCCTTCCAGCCCGAAGGTCTCCTGGGCAGAAGCCCCTCCACGTGCCAAGGATGTGCCAGAGGTGGAGAAGGGCCGTGGGCTGGCCCCGTGGTTCAGAGTGAGCAGGTGCTGGGGTCACTGGCCTACAGCTCAGGCCTCTGCTTGTCCCTCCGGTCACCCCAGTCCCGGGGAAGCACGGTCCCTGGGTCTGGGAAGGTTTGGTTGGATGCAGGTGCTGTGGTCCCCGGTGAGCCCTGGTGTCACGACTCATGCTTTATAAAAGCTCTCATGGGGTCACAGTGCAGAGGGGACGGGAAGGAGGGTTTGGGGAGGGTAAGCACTTCGCCGATGCACTTATCATTCACGGAACATTCTCTGAGGCTGGCTGTGGGGATCCCCTGTGAGTCTGGACAGTCAGGTCATAGGTCATGCTTCCTCCCGGCCTGGTTTTCACACCGTGGTATGCCACACGCATGCACACGTGTGCACGCCATCACACACTCAGACTTCACACGCACGCACCTGCATGTGCACCCCTGGCAACGGCACCCGATACAGTGACCTCAGGGCAGGCGTTGTCGTCGAGACAGGCTGCCAGGTGGCCCCTCACACTGCCCCCGCTTCCTCATCCCGGCAAATGGGCAGAGCACACTTCCAGGAAAGCTGCTGCCCTGGCATTGGACTCAATGACCGTAGAACAGCCTCTTAAGCTGGGCAGTGGCTCACACCTACAATCCCAGCACTCTGGGAGGCTGAGGCAGGAGGATCACTTGAGCCCAGGAGCTTGAGACAGCCTGGGCCATGTAGCGAGACTCCATCTCTACCAAAAAAATAAAAAATTAAAAAAACCATTAGCTGGGCTTGGTGGTGAACACCTGTAGTCCCAGCTATTCTGTAGGCTGAAGCAAGAGGATTGCTTGAGCCCAGGAGGTTAAGGCAGCAGTGAGCCATGATCACACCACTGCACTCCAGCCCGAGCGATGGAGGAGGACCCCCCCCCTTCTAAAGAAAGGGAAAAAAGAGGCCGGTGCGGGGCTCATGCCTGTCATTCCAGCACTTTGGGAGGCCGAGGCGGGTGGATCACCTGAGGTCAGGAGCTCGAGAACAGCCTGGCCAACATGGTAAACCCATGTCTCTACTAAACACACACACACACACCCCAAGCCGGATGCACATGTGTGACTGTGATCCCAGCTACTCGGGAGGCTGAGGCAGGAGAATCACTTGAAGCTGGGAGATGGAGGTTGCTGTGAGCCGAGATCGCACCACTGCACTCTAGCCTGGGTGACAGAGTGAGACTCTGTCTGGGGGAAAAAAAAGAAAGAAAAGAAAAGAAAATGGCCTCTTGGGCCAGGTCCTGGGAGCTTGAGGGAGGTGATGGCATGGAGCCAGGACCTGGAGACGTCACTTCTGCTGGAAGCCTGCATGCCCAGAGACAGGTCAGGCCCTCAGTGTGCAAGCCACCAGCCTTCTCTCCAGACAGGCTTTGCCCTGCCTGGTGCACCTCCCGTTTGCCTCACTGGTCAACTCCTGGGGGCTGCTTCGCACTCCCCCAGGGCAGGGGCCCAGACTGCACGCCTCACAGTGCCACACGCCTGCATCCCCACAGCCATAGTGGCCACTTCATGCCATATGTGTCACTTGGTGAAATCCCCGTCCCTCTGCTCTGTGCAGTGCAACGGCCGCAAGCACAGAACCGGCATGAGGAGGGTGGAGGCGAGACCCCAGTGAGTTCAAGGTGCACACTGCCCCTGCGAGAGCTTAAATAAAATTCCTCAGTCACTTAAAAAATCAGTGCATGTCGAAAATAATGAGTTTTGGACACACTGAGTTAAGTAAGATTATAGAGGTTGCCCCTCGGTACACAGAGGCACGGGTGACAAGGGATGCCACACGGTGGCTGCTCAGGTCACAGGAGAAGCTGACTCGGGCCCAAAGGGGAGGCTCTGTACATGGTCCCGAACACTCTGCTCCCAGGTCCCCTGTTGGATGGTCTGGGCTTCTGGGCATGAACAGTGCTGGATCCTGAAGGAGCAGCTCGGCCGCAGAGGCATAGTGGGGACACGGCAGCCAGCAGGGCCACACAGAGAGGGTCTCAGCCACACGCCTGGGCTGCACCATCGGGGAGCGGCAGGCGAGGCTCCGTCTTCCCTGTGCGCAGCGCACGGTACTGCAGTGCTGACCAACCCTCCCAAGGGACAGGTGAGGACACGGAGGCCCAGAGGAGTGGAGATAAGTCTGGCCTTACTGCCTGTTCTTACTGTTGGCAGGGCCTGGTAGGGGAGGCAGAGATGCCGCGAAAGAGGCATGAAGGGCTGTGCCCTGCCCTCTTCCACCCCCGAAGTTCAGAAGGACACATTCTTTAAGGGAACTGAAGGCCACGTGGTGGAGCTGCAAGCCGCCATCAGGCACAGGGATACGTGGAGTCTAGCACCCAAGGCCTCTGTTCTGTCCACTCAGGCACAGCCACGGCCCAGAGACCCAACGCTGCCCCTGGTCAGGGGCAGTCCTGGGTTCTGATGTCTCTGGCGCAGGAGACGCTGTGTAGAAGGGCCCCAGGTCCACTGTGCTCTGAGTACAGGCTGGGCTGAATTAGGCTGCGGAGCCCCGGGGTGGTGGCCAAGGCAAGGGGAGGGGCCTGAGAATCCCCTAGGCAGAAATATCTAGGCTCAGGATGGCCCAAGTCAGGTGGCCTCGGCTCCCAAGTGGGAATTCTGCCTCTGACAGGGAGTAACTAGAGGGTGCAACTGATCCTACCCTCAGTTTCCCCTCTGCAGGTGGCATGGTGCACGCAGGGCCCCAGGCTTGGCCCCAACCTTGCAGGCTGTCCCTGCGTGGGTGGAGCAGGCACAGGGCCTGGGGTCTGGGGTCTGTGCAGGGGTCTGACCATTGAGGTAGTCTCTCTGGACCACCCCATTGTGCAAAGGTGCAGAAAGTGAGCTTCTGTTTGGGGGCCTGCAGAGAAGGGGGCCTGGGTGCAGAGCTGCCTTCATGCCTCATCCACCACTGAGTCACAGGACACCACCAGGTGTCCCCCCAGAAAGTGGACGAGGCTGACAGTCCCAGCCCAGACACACACAGGCCTTTCCCAGCTCATCACAACCCGAAGGGGTAGATGCCTTTGTGACCGCATGTTGTGTCTGAAACCCGAGGGACAGATGGGAATATCTGCTGTAGGTCACGCAGCTGCCGGGAGGGGAGTTGAATCCAGATGGGGGCTCCAAGAAGCTGAGCGGCTGCCCACCCCCTCCCCGCTGCCTCTGAGAACAGGGCAGGGGGCTGCAGTCACCCGTGGCCCTGGCGGGGAACCCCTCCCCACCTGTAAGAGGGCCTCACTGCAACGGGTGCTGCTTCCCTTGCTGGCTTGACTGCACCCTGGCTTTCCTGGGTCCTCAAGGAGGTTGGGTACACTGGGCGGGGACTTCCTCGTGAGTTCCATCTGTGGCCTGGGGCCACCAGGGTGCGCAGGAGCCCTCCTGACTGCCCCAGGCGTTTCCTGGGCGTCTCCCGGGCATCTCCCATCCTGGTCACCAGCAGGTCCCACCTGCTACCTCATCGGTGTGGACTTTTCTCTGCCGAGTAAACAAAAGACCGCGTCGGTGCCCGCACTTCCTCCCCAAACCTCCTCCTGCCACATCCACCATGACCCCAGCCTCAGGGGCAGCCGAGGCGGCTCTGTGCTGCCCAGACCCGACACGGGGCAGAACCGGCCCTGGGAGGCTGAGCGGGTGGGAAATGCAGAGGCAGGCGGCCGAGAACAGTGTAGGGTGAGCTGCCGGCTGGGCTGCTGGCGCCTCAGCTCCGGGAGACATCTTCCTTATTACGGCCAAATTCATCTTTGTTTTCCTTCCCAGTGACATCTGGCTCTCAGTGAGGTCCCATGAATTACAAAAAGCAGAAGTCTGAACTTCTGTTTTATTGCCACAGGAAACTCACTGCCACAGCACAGGCGGAAAGCCCGATCTCAGCGGGTCCTGAGTCCCCAGCTCCCACCCTCGGGGGCAGCTGCGAGCTCAGAAGTGGGGACTGGGAAGCAGCAATTTCTCTCTCCTCATCGTCAGTTTCCAGCCCAAGTGCCAGGTCTCCGCCTGAGTCTTTTCCACTGATGCTACAAGGGCGGTTTCCACTCCAGGAATTTTTTTCCAGACAAGCAAAGCCCTTGCCTGCATTTGCTCTTGGCTAAGGCGGCCCTTTCCAAGCCTGCTGGGTGGCTGTTTCCTGCAGTGCAGCCCGGGCTCCGCTGAAAGGAGAGTCCGGCCTGGGGAACTGCAGAAGTAGAACCAGGGCCTTCTTACTCTGCCCATGAAAGTCAGGGGGTGGAGAATAAACCCCCCAGGAAAGGATCTGGGGTGTGGTTCACTGACACAGGCATTCCCAGGGAGACTGAGCCACGAGGCGGACGAACAGCATGGTGTCCACCCAACCTGGCCCAGACCCTGACACCAAGGATGGTGACGCTGTCGTGAGCCTCCCTCTGAGCTGCCCTCAAGTGGTCTGCAGCCCCCTAGCCAGTACCCCGGCAGTTGTGTTTCCACCCCCTCCTGCCCCTGCGAGGCAGCGGGTCCCAGCCCACTGTGTGCACTGGACTCTGTAGGGGCCCGGCCCACTCCCTGCCGACCCCACGCTGGCCTTCCCCCGTCAGAACTCAGTGGGAAGTTCCAGGGGCCTGACCACCCTGGATGTGTCAGAGGCAGAGCCCTGTGGCGCCCACTCGTGTCTGGCTCCTGTGCTGCGAGCTGGGAACCTCTGTGGGCCTCGGCTTCCCGGTCTGGAAAGTGGGGCAGCAGCAGTGCCTTCAGGGCAGCCGTGAGGATCCAGTGCAGGGCCTGGGTGCCTCTCACTGCATGTGATTCTGCCCCCGCCTGGTATGGACTAAGGTGTTCCATTAATACCTGCCCAGGGAATGGGCACTGGAGGACAGGCACTTTCTGTCCTGTAAGTGAAGTGGTGGCAAAGCCACTGTCTGGCATTGACAAATTGTAGAGTTTGGGTCCCTACCGTCCCCAGGGGCCTGGGGCCAGCCTCGGAGGTGACATCTGTCGCCTGGACGTGGATTTCTACGAACAGTGGATGTTGTCTGCGATAACAGCCGGGCAATGTTCCAGTGGCTTCTGGAGGGTCTTTAGCAACAACGACCCCCCTCCTCTGCACATAGGGTGGGAAGCAGAGGTGAGGCTGGCCAGAGGTGCAGGACTAGAGCAGCTGGGATGAGGTTGGCTCTGGGGCTCCATGACCCAGGCAGGGCAGAGGTCAAGTTCTCCCACTTGTGCCCTGACCCCAGATGGGCCCCAGGGCCTGTGTCCAGGAGGGCTTTTGCACCTACAGTGCTAACCCCGAGTCATGACTGAGCTCTCAGCCACCAGGTCGCCCAGCCCTTTGGGGGTGCTCAGGTGCTCTAAGAACGTGGCCTGGCAGGCTGGGGACAGGGACTGACGGCACAGGCAAAGGAACGCCCAGGCAGGGGCTGGACAGGGGCTGGGAGGGGGCCTGGAGACACAGGGGCCTGGAGACACTCGATGCAGCCCACCATCAGACTGGCTCCCTGCATGACCTGTGGAGTGACTGTACCTCTCCCGGCATTGGAGATGGGGAACGCTACACGGCCCTCGTGGGTGTTACAGGGACACAACAGTGTGTGTAATCCCCAGCGCTGTCATAGGCTGTAAGAACCATTCCGTGACCCTCTGAGAGGACAGACATGCCACAGGCAGGCAGTGCAGCAAGTGCCGGCCGGGAGAGCCCCACGGAGACGCCGGTGCCTTCACCTGTGGCACCACTAACAAGGTCCTGCTGCTCCCTCCATGCTGGGTCCGAACACCCGTGGGGCACACACAGCACTGGGGCACGCTGAAGTTGTTCCTGCTCCCTCCCTGCCTGGGAAGGAAATCAGATCCACTTAATTCAACCGCCATCCTTCCACCCTGGCACTGTGGGAGGCTGAGGATGAATCAGAAAACCCCAAAGTCAACCTGCGAACGGTGCAGCAGGGGAGGGGGAGGCCAGCAGAGAGCCCCAAGATGGTTCCAGAAGCTGGCAGGGAAATGCCTCACCCATCTTACACCCTCCCCACCACCCCAGACGTGGCAGCAGCGAGGCCTGGCCCTCCCTGGTGCAGCCCTGAGGGCTGGGATCTTGGGGATTAGTGACCCGGCCTGCCCGCAGCGTCTCCAGATCCTCACGTAGGGAGAAAAATTAATTTCTTCCAGTCATGCAGAAATGAAAATACGTGGAGCCAAACCAGAGAGATTTCCTGGAGGTGGTAACTGAATTACGCGGATAGCGGGCGGCAGGGGAAGAGCTCAGGGGGGCTCGGGCGGCTGGCGTGTGGCTGTGCAGCCCCGGAGGGTTCTGGAAGAAGATGTCTGGGGAAAGCCCTCCCGCTCACCGGCCCTGGCTTCACAGGTGGCGACAGCGTGGCCCTAGCACCACGAACCACTCGTGAACTTCCCTTCTCCCCTGTCACTAGAGGATCCCAGCACATCCCAGGAGAGATGGAGCCTGCCGTAAGACTGATCCTCATGCCATACTCTCTTCCCTCCCTGAGCCCCAATCTCGGGTGGAGGCCACATCTGTTCCTCCTGCTCTGGGCGCTTCTTCCTTTCTGTTTCCCTTTTGGTGTGGAAGAGTGGCCACTTGCCCAGCAGGACAGTCCCAAACAGCATGGCTTTTCCAGGCACGGTGCTGTCGGCACACTGAACAGGACCCTCCCCGCGGCTCCAGCGCGCACAGCATCCGCCTGTCTGGCCCCCGTGGAAGTTTCTGACTCCCAACGCCCAGACTGGAGCCGGGGCAAAGGACACAGCCCAACCCGAGGCACACAGAGCCAGCCCTCCACGGATGAGCGTGCCCAGGAACTGTGGGCTGGGCCTTCCTGCCTCCTCCCCTGCCGGGAAAGCGATGCCAGGGGCAGGTGAGGGTCGGACACGCTCAGGCCCAGCCCTCACCCCTTCAGGTCTGGGGGACACAGGGGAGTCCCAGTCTCAAGAAGTTTCCCCAACCTCGCAGCAACTTGAGCAATGCCAGGCACCGAATAACTGGCCCCCGCCTCTTATCCCCGGCCGACCCGTCCTCCGAGGTGGCTGCCCTGGGAACCTCCTGTTCCTGGTCCAGGAGAGGAAACGCACACCCGGGCCGGACGCACAGAAGCCGCACCCTGGCCGGGGCCACAAGCCTGACAGCTACCGACCAGCCCCCACCCACAGGAGCACGCGACGTGCTCTTTTCAAAGGAAACGTTTTTCTTCCTGGGCCCTGGAATGGGCCTAAGTCAGCCGGCCTCAGCCCACAGGGTGAAGGGGTGGGCACAGCCCGGCCGCGGCCCCAGCACACACAGGGCGGGCGCAGGGGCGGGGTGTGCCAGCCCCGCAGTGTGTTCGGAGCCCAGAGGCTCTGAGTCGCCGCCACCAGCCTGGCCGCCTTCTGCTCCACGTAAGTGAAGTCAGCCGTCTAGGGCTGCGTTTCCAGCCATCTGTCCCTCCACAGAGGCTCACACCTCCCTCCCCGCTGTTCCCACAGCCTGGCTCCGGGCCTGCCCAACACAGATGGACGCTTCCCAAAGGCTGTGCGCGCCATCGCTGCCACCGGGCTGTGCCGAGGCCCGCGGCCGTCAGGACCCCAGAGACGGCGCGCCAGGCAGGGTCCAGACCCCCCAGCGCGGATCACCCTGAGCCCGCCGGGCAGCGCCGGGGACCCGGGCGGGAGAGGGAGGGGCTGGAGGGAGCTCTGGACCCTCCTCCCCAGCCCGGCCGCCGGCACCTCGGCCTCTCCCAGGGCCGCCCTCGGCCTCCCCACTCCCGAGTCCCCGTCACGCGGGCCGCGGGGCCTTTGTTAGGAAAACCGGGCGGCCCCAGGGGAGCCCGCGGGACTTCCAGCGCCCGGGCGCGTCGTTTCCCCCTGAAGTTTCACCGCAGCCCCCGCAGGTCAGGCTCCGCTCACAGGGGGCTGCGCTCAGCCCGGATGGGTGGGCGCTGGGCGGGCTGGCTCCACCCTGCCGTGGGCACCAACTTTGAAAACGGCCCGTGCGCTCCGCGCGGCTGCGGCGCAGATCCGGGAACGGCAGCCGCGGGCGGAGTCGGGGGAGAGCGGCGGCGGCGCGCGGGGCGGACGCGGCACTTACGGTCGGGGGTCCGGGGGGTCCGGGGGGCGGCGGACGGCGCACACTCGTGACCCGGTCCGGGAGTAGCTGCTCCTTCCAGCTCGGTCCCCACCTCCGCGACTCGGGGGCGGCTGCGCGCTGTCTTCTGGCGCCGCACCGGGCTCAGGCGCGCGGCGGGGCTGGGGCGCGCGGGGCGGCCGCCTGGGCCATGCCGGGGACTCGGCTCCGGCCACCCCGCGCGGGAACAAAGCGCGCACCCCGCGCCGGGCGGTCTCCGGCCTCCGCGGCCCGCGCCGGGTCCAGCCGCCGCGCCTGTGGCTCCAACGCCGCGCGCTCGCCCGAGAGTCTCACGGGGCCCCGCGGCCCCCGCCCCGCGCGCTCCGCCTCCGCCTCCTGCCCCCCGCCGCCGCCGCTGCGCCACCTGCCTCCCGCCCGGCGCCCATTGCGCTCAGCTCCGCCCCAGGGCGCCGGCCTGGAGAGGGGCTCCCCGCCGCCGAGAGCCGCCCCCAACGCCTCCGCCACCGGGGTGCGCCCTAAGAACTGGCCGTGGGGGCCAGGGCTGTGCGGACACCGGCGCGGGGAGGGGGTGGGGGCGCGGGGAGGGGGAGGGGGCGCGGAGAGGGGGGCGAAGGGCGCGCGGCCTCCTGTGGGGGGCGGCGCGGGGGTCGCAGGCGGGGGCACGCGGAGAGGTTGCGGGACGCGGGCGACGTGGAGGGGGCGCGGCTCTGGGGGGCGGCCCCCGCCTGCGCCCACCCCCTCCCCCTCCGCAGGCCGCGCACACCCACCTCGCAGCAGTCGGGCGGCCGCGGGTCTCGCAGCTTTAGAGCCGCGGCTTCTGGCGGCCGCGCGGGAGGCTGAACGGGGGGGTGGGGGTGGGGGGGGGTGGGGGTGGGGGTGAGGGTTGGGGGGTGGGGGGGGGAGCTGGAGGGGAAAGTCGCTCCTCCGGCCGCCTCCCGCCCCGCGCTCGCCCCCTGCGCTGCGCCTGGCCCGGCCGGGGCCACCTCCGCGCGCGGCCGGCAGGGGTCGCGCTCCCCTCGCTCAGCCTCCCGGGCGGGTCCGATGTGAAGCCCTCGCCCCCCGCTGGCCCCGGGGCCAGGTCGTTTGCATACGCTTTGCATTCATTTGCATATGGTGCGTTTCATGTCCACCTGCAGAAACGGCCCGAGCCGCTGCCCTGGCCTCTGCGCACTTTGCCCCCTCGTCCGACCACTTTGCCTTTCCCTGAAGTACTTTGTGGCATGTATCGCGTGCATTTTTAGTACATTTTACTAAAATTGGCGCCTTTTCCCTGTTTCCTGCCCCAACTCACACGTGCTCTCATTTCTTAGATACAAGCGGGGGGTGGGGCCCAGGGGTCAACATTAGGAGACAGAAGAGGCCAGAACTTCAGAGCAGCAGGCCCTTGGTTCGCCTCTCATTTCGCATACATTTTGCATGTGAAGGTGCGAGGTCCCCAATCTCCTAGTATAAAAATACAGCAACGTGCGAAACATGGCCCATTCCAGCTTTGTGCCGCGGGCCTTTTTCCCCCACCGCTCGTCCCTCTCGTGGACTTGGCTCTACCCACCTGAGCTGGCAGAGAGGAAGGAGACAGAAACCCAGAACGGGGCCTCTGTGAAGGGGAGGACAGCACCCCCTCCTCCTGCAGCCCTTGGGTAGTGGTCTGGTCAGCTGGGTCACTAACCACAGTGTGGCCCAGCCAGTTCCTCCAGCTCCTCACTGTGGGGAGTGCTGTCTAAAGCCCGCCAGACTCCGTGAAAATTGTGACACAAACGCCAGGCACCTACATTCTCCTGCTTTTCAGACTGTGCTTAACATGGTGCTTGCCCATGTGGCTCAGCCCAGCCCTTGTGGAGGGCGGGGAGGTCCTGAGCCCACCCCACAGAACAGTGTAAGTCCTGCATTGGGTGTGTTGCATGAGGTCACTGATTTTATGCTAGAAATTTATCCATCCTGGCTCCCTGGCTTCATGGACTCTGAGGCACAGTGGATTTTAAGATGCACCATTATTTTATGTGCCACTAAGAAAGGAAAACATGCTGCCGGTACTAATCCTAAAACGCCCCCAGGTTTCAGAGATGTTACAAAGCAACATAAACGTGGGAGTGGGGGCAGGTGGGAGAATTCAGCAGCGAACCACCCAGAAGTCAGTGGGGCTGGGAGCTCAACAATGCCTGCGGCAGCTCTAGCTTCCCACAGGGCCTGGGAGCAGAAGCCGGCCTGGACCTGGGCCGGAAACCGTCACCCAGCACCAGCAGCACGTCTGTGGTCTCAGTTCTCTGGACTGCAGGCTTTGGGTGTTAAGTGACCAGTTGAGGTGTCTGACTTACACAGGGTGCTCACAACCATTTGAGGAGTGACAGACCTGAAGGCACCGAAGATACCACTGCAGCCATCAGACACCACAACCCAGGCACTGCTCCCGCCCCACCACAGCCCCTGCTCCCCACTCAGGAGAGCCGCAGTGGCGTGGTAGAGAAGAGAGGGATGTCACAGGCAGGAGGGCTTCCTTCTGTGCTGTGAGTGGGCCTGCCCAGCGGTCACAGGGTGGTCAGGTGGTCTTGGCAGTAGCCGGCACAGAGCTGGGCACCGTCTCTGCATTTCCCCCTGTGCTGCACGGATGCTTCCAGAACACCCATTTTACAGGTGGAGAGGCTGAGCCTCTCAGCCACACAGACCTCCTGCTGCCTTATCCCAGGACTGGTTTCTTGCCCTGGATGCGGCCAAGTCACAGCTCCTGGGCATTTCGAGGGGACATTTAAGGAGGAGACTCCCAGCCCGGTGTGAAAGATGTCTGCGGTCTGTCTGACAAGGCTGGTGTCACCTGTGCGGGAGGTAGACCACGGGCGAGCAGGACCTCAGAGGGCCACACTCAGGGTTCCGGAGGAGGCAGAGCACTGGAGGAGGGAACTCGAGGGTGCTCCCACGGAGCCCCAGTGTGTCACTGTCTACAGAAGCAGGAGCTCACTTCACTTAGAAGAAACCGCTTCGGCCGGGCGCAGTGGCTTAAGCCTGTAATCCCAGCACTTTGGGAGGCCCAGACGGGCGGATCACGAGGTCAGAAGATCGAGACCATCCTGGCTAACATGGTGAAACCCCGTCTCTACTAAAAAAAAAAATACAAAAAACTAGCTGGGCGACGTGGCGGGTGCCTGAAGTCCCAGCTACTCGGGAGGCTGAAGCAGGAGAATGGCATAAACCCAGGAGGCGGAGCTTGCAGTGAGCTGAGATCCGGCCACTGCACTCCAGCCTGGGCAGCAGAGTGAGACTCCGTCTCAAAAACAAAAAAAAAGAAACCGCTTCCCCTCCTCATGGCATGGCAGCCTTTCCGAGTAAAGTTGACTCCCCACCACCATCTAGTACCCCAATCACACACCCATGGAAACTCCAGGAAGACCATGCCTGGCTCTAGGGCCCGCGGCACACAGCGGGGCAGCCCCAGCTTTGCTGACCTGTGCTGGGTGCGCCTCTGAGGCCCCACCCTGCTACCCTCAGAAAAAAACCCCAACCTTCTGTCCTGCCAACTGCAGTTTATCCTGATCCCCCTCACCAAAGGGCAGCACCCACATCTGATGTCCCTCTAAACCGCTCAACAGTGCCCAGCTCAAGATTTAGATAAAGACGCAGTTTATAAACACTTGCCACAGGCGTCCCTGCGGTATGTCACTTCCCTGCAGTCACGGCCCCTTCTGACACCAGGTAAGACTTGCTGTCTGAGGGGCCCTGGCTAAGGGGCAGGCGCTAGGCCCTCTCATGTACTCTCCGTGGCCATGGGAGGTAGGTCTTGCCACCAGCTTTGTTTGCCAGAGGAGAACACCGGGACCCAGAAAGCTTGGGTAATCGCAGGTCACAGGCTGTTCTGTGGCAGAGCTGGGGTCCTGCCAGGCCAGCATGGTCCAGGTGGAGGCCAGGCCATCACCGTTGCTGACCTTCAGAAAATAGTTCTGAGCACTATAGACTCCCTCAGACATTTTCTGTTATAACTAAAAATCTGCAACAAAAGTTTAGATAGCTGCCAAGAATAGAAAGTCTGATACACTATAGGTATAGATATTTTAAAATCAGTGGGTGGCTAATGATTCTAGCTACCATAGCAATTTGATAGCTACTGTTGTTCATCAAAAATGTCTGAATAAACTTTCTTAAACACCTGCATTTTCTCTCAGCTCCCTACCTAAAACAGTGAGCTTTTAAATATAACACCAAGAGTATGATGTATAAAATAAAAATTTGGTAAGTTGAATTTCATTAAAATTTAATACTTTAGCAAAAGACGCTATGAAGAGAATGGAAAGACAAGCCAGGGACTGGGAGAAAATATTTGGGCAACACGTATCTGATAAATGACTGTTATCTAAAATATACACAGAACTCTTAAAACCAACCATAAGAAAACAAACAGCCCAATTAAAAACGAGCAAAAGATCTGAATAGACATCAGAGAAGAAGATCTGGCAAATAAGCATATGAAATGATGCCCAGCGACCTTGCCACTAGGGAGTGTGTCAGCAAAGCCACAAGAGGCCATGACATGCCTGTTAGAATAACTAAAACTCAACACACCAACAACCCCAGATGCCGGTGAGGATGAGGATGTGGAGCAACGGGAGCTGTCGTTCATTGCCGACGGGAATGCACAATGGTACAGCCCTTTGGAAGACAGTTTGACCATTTCTTATGAAACTACACGCTCTTACCATGCGACCCAGCACTCACGTTTCTTGGTATTTACCCAAATGAGTTAAAAACTTATGTCCCCGGCCGGGCGCGGTGGCTCACGCCTGTAATCCCCGAACTTTGGGAGGCCGAGACGGGCGGATCATGAGGTCAGGAGATCGAGATCATCCTGGCTGACACGGTGAAACCCCGTCTCTACTAAAAATACAAAAAATGAGCTGGGCGTGGTGGCGGGCACCTGTAGTCCCAGCTACTGGGGAGGCTGAGGCAGGAGAATGGCGTGAACCTGGGAGGCGGAGCTTGCAGTGAGCCAAGATCGCACCACTGCACTCCAGCCTGGGCGACAGAGCGAGACTCCGTCTAAAAAAACAAAAAAAACAAACAAACAAACAAAAAAACTTATGTCCCCACAAAATCCTGCACATCAGTGTTTATAGAAGTTTCATTCATATTTGCCAAAACTTAGAAGCCACTGAGACAGCCTTCAGTAGGTAAATAGATAAAATACTGTGGCATATGCAGACAATAGAATATTACCCATGACAAAAAGTAGTGAGCTATCAAGCTATGGAAAGTGAACACTGATGGCCGGGTGCGGTGGCTCACATCTGTAATCCCAGCACTTTGGGAGGCCGAGGAGGGTGAATCACCTGAGGTCAGGAGTTCAGGGGTGAATCACCTGAGGTCAGGAGTTCAAGACTAGCCTGGCCAACATGGCGAAACCCCATCTCTACTAAAAATACAAAAATTAGCTGGGCATGGTGGCATGCGCCTGTGATCCCAGCTACTCGGGAGGCTGAGACAAGAGAATCGCTTGAACCCAGGAGGCAGAGGTTGCAGTGGCAGTGAGCCGAGATCACGCCACTGTACTCCATCCTGGGCGACAGAGCAAGACTCCATCTCAAAAAGAAAAAAAAAGTGAATTTTGCTAAGAAGTCAGTCCGAAAAGGCTACGTACTGTGTGATTCCAACTCACCAGCACTCAGAAAATGTAAAATGATGGAAATAGTAAAAAGATCAGTGGTTTTCAGGCGGTTATAGAATAGGGAAGGTTGAGTAGGGAAAGCACAGGGGTTTGTTTGTTTTTTGAGACAGAGTGTTGCTCTTGTCGCCCAGACTGGAGTGCAGTGGCATGATCTCGGCTCACTGCAGCCTCTGCCTCCTGGGTTCAAGTGATTCTCCTGCCTCAGCCTCCCGAGTAGCTGGGACTACAGGCGCCCACCACCACGCCAGGCTAATTTTTGTATTTTTAGTAGAGATGGGGTTTCACCGAGTTGGCCAGGCTGGTCTTGAACTCCTGACCTCATGATCCGCCCACCTGAGCCTCCTGAAGTGCTGGGATTACAGACATGAGCTACTGCATCCAGCTGAGTTTTTGTTTGTTTGTTTGTTTGTTTTTAGACAGGGTTTCACTCTGTCTCCCAGGCTGGAGTGCAGTAGTGTGATCACAGCTCACTGCATCCTTTGACCTCCCAGGCTCAAGCGATCCTCCCATCTCAGTCCCAGCTAATTTTATTTATTTTTGTGTAGAGACAGGGTTTTGCTGTGTTGCCCAGACTGCACGGAGGATTTTTAGGGCAGTGACACTATTCTGTATGACACTGTAATGGTAGACATAAGTCATATGCTTGTAACACCAAGAGAGAAGAATGTAACACCAAGAGAGAAGCCCAGTGTAAACTCTGGATTTGTCAGTGTTGGTTCATCAGTTGTAACAAAGGTATCACACCAGTGCCAGGTGCAATGCAGGGACCCTCCCCCGGGCCCCCCAGGGAATGAGCCTGAAAGAGTAGTGAGAACTGGGTGCTTTCCCCCCAGTTGTCCTGTAAACACAGAACCATGCTAAAAAATAAAATCTATTAACTTAAAAAATTCAGCAGACAAAAATGAGGGTATCAATAACATTTTATGAGCCGTTTAAAAGACAGACACAAATCGACTCCTCTTCAGCGTCTGAATCTCTATACAACCCTTCTCTCCCTCAATGCCTCCCTCCATTCCACCCAGCCGACTTTTATCCTAATATATTTTCATGTTTGAAAGTATTTTGATTCCCCTGTCGTACAAAACTATGTACATAATTGGAATGTCAAGATTTAAGCATTTTCCTGCGTATTTCCTGGGCTGGATTATCATGATAATTATTGGTAGTATATAACTGATACAATGTGAATGTATTATACATTTTGAGAACTAATAACGATGCAAAGTAGGCTGGGCTTGGTGGCTCACACCTGTAATCCCAGTGTTTTGGGAGGCCAAGGAAGTAGGATCTCTTGAGCCCAGGAGTTCAAGACTAGCCTGGGCAACATAGCAAGACCTCCTCTCTACAAATAATTAAAAAGTTAGCCAGGTGTGGCGGTGCGTGCATCTGTAGTCCCAGCTACTCAGGAGGCTGAGGCAGGGGATTGCTTGAGCCCAACAGGTTGAGGCTGCAGGGAGCTGTGATCACGCTGCTGCACTCCAGCCTGGGTGATGGAGCGAGACCCTGTCTCGAAAATAAAAACAAAGATACAAAGTAAATTTTTGTTGGAAGGCAGTTCCTAAAAGGAGGAAGGGGGCACTTTTTGGTAGTAGTTTGTGTGTTCATGCATGAATAATAGTGCCAGAAAAAGACAGGGTTTGACATTAATTCCATTCCCGTGGTGGGTGTTTGATGTGAAAGCCAGAGAAGCTTCAGTCCCATAAATAACTCGATCGGAACGGGAGCTGTGTCCTAACAATCTCACTGTGACCTCCTTCTGAGAGTCAGATGCCACAAGCCACGTGGGGAGTGGTCATAGTCGTTTTTAATAACTGTCAGCTGACAAATCGGTTCTGTCCCCCCTCAATTCTGTTTCATGCAAAGACCAGAAACCAGCAGGTTGCAGCAGAGGCACGTTCACGGCGAGTGGGGAGCTGGGGGCACCAGGCTGGCCCCAGGCAGAGAGATATTGGTCTTTCTTGGGGAACTGGGAGAGGCTGACGGTGCAGGGGTAGCTGGAAAAGGACCCACACTGGCCCAAGCAGATTCTGCCTTGGCCATCAGCCTTGGCCATGTGGTGTGGGCACTGGATAACCCAGCTTTACATTGCCCACGAGGTCAAGGAGACCCTCCCGGGAGGCAGGGAAGAACCCTAAAGCTGAGGGAGTCTGGGCTCCGGCCAGGAAGGTTCCTTGCCTCAGAGAGTGTCTGTTGGCTCTCTCCCCTGGCTAACATCAGCATCACTGCTTTTGCAGAATGAGCTTTCCTAATTGTGAAGTGGCTTCATTTACTTACTCATTCCTTTTTTCCTTCACTCTCCATATCCAATGGAAGGTAAGTTACGGACGCTTTGCCAAACCTCAGTTTTTCCTGTAAAATGGGGCTAAGTGCTGGCTGGCCTAGACATTTGCAATGTGACCCAAAGACAAGTTCAGAGTTCTCTCTTGTCTTTGTTGAACTTCACACGAGAACCAGGCCAGGCACAAACAGCTGGAAATCGGAAGCGTCCCGCGGGAAAACCAGCCGGTGCACGTGTGTAAAAGGGAATGTGGATGGGATTGAGGTGGTGTTTAAAATCCCTGGAGAAGCACAAACTCTCCAGTAAATGGGGTCAGGACAACTACCCCATGTGGGAAAAATAAATTGTATACTCCTTACTTTACTTGGAAAAATAAACTCCACTTGGGTTAAAGAATAAAATGTGAAAAACTAAAACAGTGAAAGGATTAAAAGAAAGAAACGAGTATTTGTATAATACTAGTTTAAAATTAAGGCAGCCGAGAAACTCTGACAAAATTTTAAGAAGCTGGAGAGGTTTGGCCATGTAGGCACGAGCAACTTCCATGTCCTGAAAGAGACAGGCGACCCTGATGAGAGACAGGCTGGGAGCCGGGCGTGGTGGCTCACGTCTGTAATCCCAGCACTTTGGGAGGCTGAGGCGGGCAGATCACTTGAGGTCAGCAGTTCAAAACCAGCCTGGCTAACATGGCGAAACCCTATCTCTACCAAAATACAAAAATTAGCCAGGTGTGATAGTGTGTGCCTGTAGTCTCAGCTATTCGGGAGGCTGAAGCAGGAGAATTGCTTGAACCCAGGAGGCAGAGGTTGCAGTGAGCTGAGATCGAGCCACCTGTACTCCAGCCTGGGCGACAAAGCGAGACTCCGTCTCAAAAAAAAAAAAAAAAAAAAAAAAGATGGGCTGGGAGTAGGTGTGGAGACAAACGACAGTGGCCCCAGCACACAAACATTGCTAGAGAGAAGAACAGTACAAGCACTCAAAATAACGCTCAACAAAGTTCATGAGTAGGCAAATCCCACAAGAAGAAAACAAAAGGTGCCAGGCACGGTGGCTCACATCTGTAATCCTAGCGCTTTGGGAGGCTGAGGCAGGCGGATCACTTGAGGTCAGGAGTTCAAGGCCAGCCCGGCCAACATGGCGAAACCCCATCTCTACTAAAATACAAAAATTAGCCGGGCGTGATGGCGTGTGCCTATAATCCCAGCTACTCTGGAGGCTGAGGCAGGAGAATCGCTTGAACCTGGGAGGCAGAGGTTGCAGTGAGCCGAGATTGCACCACTGCACTCCAGCCTGCTTCCCTTCCTCATGCCTGACCCCCTCTCCTCCTCTCCCGTCTCTCTTCCCGTCTCTTTTTCTGGATCTGTCTGCGCTTGTTCTGCATTCCCCTATTCTCCAGGGCAGGAACTACATTGGTCTGTTCACTCCTCGCCTGGACCGGCACCGGCACAGAGGGAGAGCAGTGTTGGCACCTGTCTTCCGGGTCTCCATCCTTCCCTTTGTTGAGTTACTGTTTGTTCTCATTTCCTCATCACACAATTCTTCAAGAGGTATCATTATCTGCATCTTATTTTATTTTCACCTTCTTTTCTGTTACCTCTATGTTTGAATTTTCCTATAAGTATTTTTGTTTTATCTTTGCTTTTTTGAATAAAAAAATCAGTTTTAAAATTGCACCTGCAGTACAAAATCAGTGTGGCTGCTGGGTTTGCTGCCATTCCCTCCCCTTGGGTCTGTGGCTTCTCAGCCCCAGCTCGGGTCACAGACCTGCTGCCATGGCCCCAGGGTAGGCACAGGGCTCAGAGCTCAGAGGACAGTCACGCAGGCAGCCGCGGCCCCAGCGATTGGTCCAGGAGGAGGGCAGGTGACCACACGTGGCCAGTCACAATCCTTCCCTGGGAGTTTTTGAACTGGAACAGGAGAGGAAGAACTTCTTTGGTCTGCGTGGGAGGCAAGCCCAGAGTGGCCTGGACGGCTGCTGGGAAGAGAGGGTGGGCAGAGCGGCCGAGGGCGTGCTAATGGTTGGGTCTGTGGGGCCTGAAGCCGGTGCCCCTGCCCTTCCTGTAGTTGGGTGCTTGAGCCAGCACAGTCCCAGGTCTCCCTGATGCCTTCGAGCTGGGTTTCTGTCACTTGCGGCTGCAGTGTTCTGGCACAGACCCTTGGCCCAGGGCCCCTGTGCAGAGGTGGGTTTGGGTCTCCCCAGCCCCAGCAGCCCCAGGAGGCTATGAGATCTAAGCCGGAAGCTGCTCTGGGCACCTGAGTGCTGAGAGCCTGAGTGATGGGAACAGGCCTGCTGCTGTGCAAAGGCAGAGCCACTCATTTTTATCAGCCAGAGACCTGGCTAGGCCCCAGGGTGGACGGTCTCCAAACCGCACGCATCCCGGGCACTGACAAAGCCGTCTATCATCACTGGAGCGAGGGCACCCAGGGAGGCTCTGCCAGGCCACGGCGTAAGGGAGCTGCCTCCCTCCAATCCTTTTCTCACGGGGCACCGAGACGGCTTTCAGCAAGACAAATCCGGCTCTGCCACTCCCTGCCCGAGATAGAGTCTCAGCTCCCGCACATGGGATGCTGCTGCTCACCCCCACCGCCTCTCTGAGCTCCAGCCTCACAGGCACACACAGCCCGTCTGCCTGGAACCTTCTGCCCACAGACTCCTCTCAGCCTCAGGTCCCTGCTGAGTGGCCATTCCTGCTGGGAGGCAGGAATTCCCTGATCTGCCCTTCCTGAGTCTGGGACAGACGCTTCCCGTCCCCCCAGGATAGCCCCATCACAATTGTTGACAGGTCTCTGTGTTCTTCTTGAACAAGTATTCGGCGGACCCCCTGGAGCGACAGCCCAAGGCTTCCTGTCCCCACCCCCGGCACCCTGGGGACAGAATGTCCAGGACACCCACACAGGGCCTGTGTCGAGTGGTGTCATCAGGTTTGCTGCTGAATGAGCAGATGATCTAATGAGTGACCATCCTCACCCACAAGAAAAATCGCAACCTGGTCACCATCTGCCCAATAGATCGGCCCCCAGTCTCGCTGTCCCCAGCAATGACAGAGGAGGAGGAACAATGAGCGCCGTGCCTGGGCGGAGCCATCACCTCTGTCCCTCAGCTGGGCTTGTCGCACTCAGCCAGACCTGCTCCCGGTGGAAAGGCCGAGTGACTCTTATTTCTGCCTTTGCATCCCTTTCTCACAGGCCCTGCGGGGCTGACAGCCAGTGGTGAGTGGTGAGGGTTGATGGAAGAGGGAAGGAAGGAGTGAGTGTGGGGAGAGCCGGCCAGGCTCCCCACGTCCACCCAGACGGTGAGCTGGCCCTGTCCTGGAAACGCTGTGGCCAGAGGCTGGCAGAGTCCTCAAAATGGTCCCCACAGCTCCCAGCGAAGCCATCAAAAAGGTCCCCACAGCTCCCGCCCACTCTCGGGACCCTGAGTCTGGGAGATTAGGGTCAAGCAGCGGGTATCAGGGATCTGGGAGGATCGGAATGTACGGGGCGTGGGGGCTTCCGGCTCGGGATAGCGCCAGCAGGGGTGGCCAGGACGATGGCGAGGTGAGGTGTCTGCTCCCAGGCTGTGTGTGGCTTGGATGCCAAAGCGCCTTTTGCTGTATTCGGCACCCTGAGACCCTTATGTCTGTCTTTTGAAGGCACAGTTTACTCCCGGGAAAATACACATTTGGGTTTATTTTGCTGTGACTGCATCCCCTGAATCTTAATCATATGTTTTCTGGGTTTCCCTTAAGGGAGATGGCTCCACTTAAGATGACTTTGGGGCTGCCATGGGCCTTGTCACCTGTGTTGTGAGGGACAGAGATGTCCACAGAGCATGTGGGCTCTGCTCCTGCCCTGGGCAATTGAGGGTAGGCGGCCTCTAACAACTGACACCATGTCAGGACAATGGCCACCAAGCCAGAGGCCCTTTCATCTGGAGTCCTGGTGCTTCCGGACTCAGGAGTGAATGTACCATGGCCATGCCTGGGTGTGGTCATGGCCCCTCTACAGCTGCCAGTCAGAGAACTGCCTAGGAGCTCCCATTCCTCCTCTGAAGACTTCAAATCCCACCACTGACCAAGATAGCCCCCTGGCCACAGTGGGCGCCCCCAGCCACCACGATGGTACCCCAGCTACTATGGAAGGTCCCCTGACCACAAAGGCACCCTGTCCACCATGATAGGCCGGCCACCCATCTACTCTGACAGCCCCCTGCCCCGACAGCCCTGCCCAAGGCTCCTGACCTCAGCCAAGGATCCTGGCCCCACCCAGTGCTCCTGACCCCGCCCAGGGCTCCCAACCCCCAGGCCTACTGAGTTCCTGCTCCCTGAGGCTTTGGGAAAGAGACCCTGGAGTTAGCTGTCTGCCAGGAGAGCCCTGGAGGGCGGCCGCCTGGCCCCAGCCCCAGCCCCAGAGGCGGTGTAGAGCTTCCAGACAGAATGGCCAGGAAACCTGGGTCCGAGCCCTGTTTACCACACGTGTGACGGAGGGCGAAGACCCGCTTCACGGGAGAATCCCATGTACACGGAGCTCACGGCCTGTCCCAGGGTGGGCAGCAGACCTTCACCCACCCACCGGGTCCCCGGGACACAGTGTGTCCGCCTGCTTGTCCCCGGGGCTCTCAGGGTTCTCTGCTCTTTGACTGAGCCCAGGGACGACCCTGCTCCCCCAGACTCAGAGCCCAGCAGCTCCCGGAGGGTGGAGGATGGAGGGTGGAGGAATGCAGAGCTTCTACAGGCCTCACAGGCATGGCCCATTTCAGTTCCACGGGTCGGGGCTTCCCAGCAGGGGACATGGAGGCCCGGAAGGCATTTGTCTGGAGTCACACAATCCCATGGCAGAGGGAGGCGAGGCTGGGACCCACAGGCCTGGTGTCTGTTCCTGGAGGACCTTGCTGGTGGTGCCCCGGAAGAAAGAGGCGTCCCAGGCGTGGCCGGGGGAGGGCGGGGGGGCTGGCGTCTGCTCCTCGGCTGCCTCCCTGACTGAGTTTTGAACTGGACTGCGTGCCCCCTGCCCTCCCTCCATGCCTGCTCCAGGTAGCGTCACAAGGGCCTGCAGCAGCTGCACCGAGCCCGGCCTCCGGGGTTCTGGGCTGCCTGGCACCCTCTTGTCCACACCGTACTTTGCCAGGGCCTCTTAAATGCAGAGGCTGAACCACAGACGGAGTGGCTCACCCAGAGACTGCGGCAGCCTGAAGTCGGGGCCCTCTACGTCTTCATCCCGCCCTCCCCCGGAACAAAACTGCCTTTGGGCTTCAGGCTCCAGAGGTTGTGCCCACAGGCAGCTGCCCAGCAGAATCACTGTCGCACGGGACTGGTTGCTCACTCCTCCGCCATTGACCCACTCCCCGGAATCTTCCCTCTCACCAAATGCTCCAGGTGGTTCTAACCTCACAGTCTGGACAGCCAGCTGATGGCCCCAGAGGTTCCTGGTCAGAAGTACTGCCTTTCCCTGCCCTCAGGACACCCGCACCCCACGCCACGGCGCCCAGGATGGATGCCACTGCCTTTCAGGGCTAGCAGCAGACATGGCAGAGCTCTCTCTGTGGGGCTCCCACCTGACCCGGGACAACAGTGCTGCTCACACAGCACAAACGGGGTCGGAGCTTGCTCAGAGACCACGGCACCCCTCAGCCCGGGGAGGGTGAAACGGAGGTGACAGCCAGTCCCTCCACCCCCAGGCACGTCACCCTGCTGACCTCCACACCTGTCCTCACTGTACATCTACGAGGCCCAGAGAGGGTCGGTGGCTCACCTGAGACACACAGCTGTGGCGAGACAAGGTTCTCAACAGACTGTCAGCCGAGCACAGATAAACTCAAAAGCAGATACACGCAGTGGAATATTATTCAGACATAAGAAGAAAGGCAGGTCCGATATACCCTTCAGTGGGATGGACCCAGAAAACACGGGCGAGTGGAAGAGCTGGACACAGGATCCCACTTACACACAACGCTGGAAAAGACAAATCCACAGACGCAGGAAGCAGATGAGTGGTGGGCAGGGCTGAGGGAGGGAACGGGCCTGACTGCCCATGGGCATGGGATTTCTTTTGGGGCAAAATGCTCTAAAACTTGTTAGCAGTGATGGTTGCACACCCCTGTGACTCTGTTAAATGCCACTGACTTGTGTACTTGAGATGGGTGAGTTGTAAGATGTGTGGGTTAAACCTCAACAAGGCTGCTTGAAAGTCACCGTAGACCTGGAACCAAAGCTCCTGTGAGCCGCTCGCACTCCCTCGCTCACAGAGAGGCCACGGAACTTTGTCGGCGCACCGGGCACTAGCGGGATGGGTGTCAAGGCCGTGCATGCCCACGAAGCCATAGGAAGCCTGGTCAGGCCGTCAGAGCCTCAGACGGCACAAGCCTATCCTGAGAGGAAAGGGCCCTGGACGCACGCTGTGGGCGAAGAGGCCGAAAATAGCTTCAAGAGCCCAAAGCTCCCGGGGAGAAGTTGAGGTTGATGTGGTCACTTCGAATGGGGAACTCCTCCAGGAAGGAAAGGAGAAGTTTTATGTGGGGCGGGGGCGTCAGAGTAATGCCAGGTCCTGGTGCAGAGCTCATGAGTACCCCACATCCCCGGACATCACCCACGTGTCGTCTGGAGCAGAAGCCCGCTGGTGGAGAGGCATCCTCCCCATTCTCAGATGGGGAGACTGAGGCCTGGGTAGGGGCAGGTGGAGAAGCACAGTCGCCACCCAGCAGCCCAGCACTACCTTCGGAGGGAGGCAAACTCGCTCCCCCAGGGCCGGGGGCTGGGGGCCTGGGTGTGGCCTTTGGAAGGAGATGAACTTGCTCATGGCCCAGGTCTGCAGTCTGCGCTGGCTCTGCTCTTCCCGCTGCAGGCTGTGGGTCCTCTGCAGGCAGCTCTCATGCTGCAGACCTGGCTCCCTCGGGGGATGGTCAGAGTGGGACCCTGTACCGCCTTGGCCTCCCTTTTCCCTTTGCCTCCATGGAGCAGGCCTGAGTTCCCAGAGGGCCGATTCCTCTGCGCCCCGACCCCTGGCAGCCCCGTCAGCTGCTCATTCACCCAACAGATGAGTGCTGCATGCCTGGGCTGTGCCACCCCAACCCAGGGCCAGGATTCGGAGGGGAACAGAGAGAAAGCCCCGTCCTTGTGATGCCAAGGTCCCAGCAGCTGGAGGGACAACGCCCCTGTTGATTGACGGGCTGAGTCATGTGCCGACGCCCTTACTGGCAGGCACGCCACATGTGCCAGAGGTTCAGGCCTGGCCTGGGCCCGCTGTGTCCTGGTCTGATACACGCTACACGGACAGTCACACGAGCAGCTGCTGCGGCCATAGATGGGCGGTGGGGACAGGGCATGACGCTGTCGGGGAGCAGAGGGGCCTCCTTGCAAAAGAGAGTTGAAGTAGTCCTGGTGATGACGATGGGCTCCCAGGAGACGCAGAGAGAACACCTGTGCACAGCCAGGGACGGAGAGAACTTGTGGGCACACCTGGGGCTGGAGGCATGTAGGTGTTCAGGGTCTGCGAGGAGGCCCAGGCACTGGGGCAGCACCCAGTGCTTACAGAGCCTGCAGGTCTTGGACAGAGGTGCTGGCACAGGCAGGAGGTGGCATGGGTCATACCACCTGTAAAAGCCATGCGCAGTAGAGAATGTTCTAGAAATAAATGTGATGCTGTGATTGCCTGAGAGGGAATCCAGGTGCAGGAGAGGGAGGGTCCCAAGGAAACCCTCCTTTTCCTCCTCCTTCCTCCCAGCTGCGGGGAAAGGCGATGGAGAGAGCGGGGCGGAGATGGTGTCTGGGATCACTGGAGGAAACGTGGCTCATTGTTTAACAAGATCATTAAACCTGTAATCCCAGCACTTTGGGAGGCCGAGGCGCGCAGATTACCCAAGGTCAGGAGATCGAGACCAGCCTGGCCAACATGGTGAAACTCCATCTCTACTAAAAATACAAAAATTAGCTGGGTGTGGTGACGGGCGTCTGTAATCCCAGCTACTTGGCGGGAGGCTGAGGCCTGAGAATCGCTTGAACGCGGGAGACGGAGGCTGCAGTGAGCCGAGACTGCACCACTGCACTCCAGCCTGGGCGACAGAGCCAAATTGTCCAAAAAAAAAAAAAAATAAATAAATAAATAAATAAGGTTCCAAGGAAGATGAGTCCATTTCCCTCCGATGATTTTCAGTAGAAAACAGGCAGAGATAAGACAAGGTCCTTGATTCCCAGGTCTGTCTGCCCTCCCAGGACAGCCTAGGAGACGCGAGTGATGCTGAATGATTCCGGCCTGCACCTGCTGGGCTGGGAGGGCAGGGCCCTTTTCTGCCTCAAGCTCTAAGTTCAATGTGGACAGCATCTGTGAAATGGGACCGTGTCACCTGCTCTGCTGAACTCATGGGGCCAGGTGCCAGGTCGACGGGGTCATGGGTGCAGAGGCTGTTTGAAGATAGCAGAGAAGATGTGAAGAGAGAAGCCTGAAAATCCTGGTGTGAGAAGGGCCTCAGGAGTGTCGCATTTGAGCACTGTTGATTTGTGGACTGGAACCTACTGGAACGAATCCATTTGTCGTGGAGCAGAAACAGAAGTCAGCTGAGTGAGGCCTCCACAAGAGTCTCAATTTTCCTTATGAAAAGAGGCTGGCCTGGTGTTTGTCCTCTGCCCCTTCTTCCTCCTTCCTGCCTGGAATGCAGACATGATGCCTGGAGCGGGGGCAGCCACTTTGCAGCTAGGAAACCATAAGCAAGAGGATAGTGAAGTTGAAAGAGTAGAAATGCCGGGTACCAGACAGTGTCACTGCGGTAGCCGGAGCCACCTGCCTCTGGGCTTTGGTGATGTAGAAACAAACCTTGTTTACACTCCCATTAGGTTTCCTGTGATTTGCAGCTGAACACAATCCTACTGGCTACAGGAATCAAATCCTGCACAGGGAGAGCTGCCAGATTTTGGAGATGACAAATCCAGAATGCCTGGTTAGATGCCTGGTTAAATGTGAATGTCAGATAAACAGTAACCGATTTTTAGTGTATGTTCCAGGCAATATTTGAGATACACTTGTATTTTAGGAATTTGTTTATCTGAAATTTGACTATGACTGCAACGCTATTCACGGCTGAAGTCACAGAATCCAGAGACTGTGAGACCTGTCTGAGGTCTTGCTGTGGGCAGGTGGCGGGTGGGGCTCTGCCTTCTGTATTCCCCGGCCTCCCCTTGTTTTCATCCTGACCTGTTGTCTCTAGAGCTTTCTGAAACCTGCTGTAACAGATGTGTAAAGAAGGGGGCCTGTGAATGCCGCGAGAGTCCGTGAGAGATGGTTCCCAGACGGGAGATGCATGGGGAGTGACGGAACCTTCTGTAGGAACTGACACACGGCACTAGAGATTTCTACTGGATAGTAAACGATACTCAGCCTGGACACTCCCCCTCCATAGTGACTGACACTCAGCCTGGACA